TTTTTTGTAATCTTGTTAATCTCACAAGAAGCATGATTGGACTTAGGAATTGTTAATTTGTTAATCTAAATTGAGTTTTTTGAAGGAATTTATCTAAGGAGTTAATGAGATCTTATCTGAATTTTGGATTATTGAGAGTTATATGGCTTATAATTTTTAAGGTACATTATCATTCTCGAAATTATACTTGAATACTTGGAATTTGTTGGGCAAAAAAATTAAAGGTTATAACTTTTCATTGAATAGTTTGGAATGTTGTATAATAGGTGTTTAACAAAAACCCAAGGAAAGATTATATTTTAATTGAATAGTTAACTGTGGTAGAATGCTATGGAAAAACCTTCATTTGTGAATTGTGTTCCTAAAATTTCAAAGTTATTATTGTTAACTTTGGTTGAGTGGGTTCTCTCGAAAAGGGATCTTGTTAGTTTAAAAATAAAGTCTATTAAAATACTGTTATATATTATAGGATCTTTGGAAGAAGGGAAGCTCGATTTGAGTCATAAGAAATGAGTTTTGAGCCTTGAGGATACTACAAGTAAGTAGATAGCGTCCCAATTAGTTTATCAATAAAATTATTTTTTCAAGATATTTTTTATATAGATCATCCAATAACAATTATATTATATATTTGGTATTTTATTAATTAAATTATTATTTTTATCTTGGGAAATTATAAAAAGATTTGAAGGGTATTTGAATTATGGCATGTGTATGTGTTTTTCCTTATGAAGAATACTTTTAAAATTGATGAGATTATTTTTATTAACTCTGATTATTTTTGAGTTACTCAATAAATGTCAAACATGGACATTAGTTATGAAATTTTATTTCGGCAAGTTTTTAATGCTCAAAACTATTAATACAAGTTTGATTTTGAGAATGGAAACTATATTTTTATGGTAATGATTTTCTCACATATTTGGAAATGGATTTGAAGGAGATTTTATACAGGGCACTGGTTGCTAACGGTAATGTTATTAGCCCTTGGTGTACCATGGTTAATGACTAGCTAATTTGATTTTCGTGAGCTCTGTTTTCACACTTGTTATTCGTGAGTCTCGTACTCACGTTTGCTTTCATGGCTTCGAGCCTTGTTTGGTTAGTATTACCCTCATAAACTGTGTATCCATGTTTGTTTTGTAACTTAGGCTACGTTTGGTTACTTGCCCTCATAGACTATGTGTCCACATTTGTCTTCATGGCATAAGTCACGTTTGGTTATTCACCCTTATGGACTGTGTGTCCATGTTTGTGAATTGTTCTGATAAATCTCTAGAAATTTGAATATTTACTTAATTGATGATTTCACATTCTAATGATTTTTAATTAGAAAATGTTATTATTTTCATTTATACATTTATTTAATTATTTTGATTTGTTAATATCAAATGTTAAAGCTACTTTGTTATTATAGATTTAAATGTTATTGTTATGAAGTTCTATAAACCTTTTATTCCAAGTTTACAAATTTGTTACATTGAATTACTTTCTCATTTTAATTTATGTAACGATTATATTTTATTCATTTTGATTCTATAAAATATTATGGTTGGGATGTTATTCACTGAAAAATATTTTTGATCTCATATAGCTTATATCTCTGTCAGGTCATTCAAGGGATTTTGCTACTAGATTGATGTTGAGACGCCATTTTGGTTAATGTTTATTTTTGATGTAAAATTCTAATTTATATATTATAATTTTATAAATAATGTTATAGGTGCTCCACATAAGTTATGATTAGGGTTTTTATTTTGTTAAATACTTTATCTGCTGGCTGGAAGGAGCTGAGCTTTAATTGTTATAATATCTATTTGAAAATTTGTATTATAAAATTTTAGGAAACTCCATTTACATGGAAAATTCTGTCAGAATTTCCACAAATATTAAGGCTTCATTTAAGTGAAAAGTATTTAAAAAAATGAAAAATTTCTTGAATTAGGCTTAAGGAATGTGTGTCTAGATGCATATTCCATGTTGGTCACTCCCATATTTTTAGGGTAGAACAACCACTTCTTTACTTGCCTATTCAGAATGGTAATGGGGACTTCTTCATAAGATAAGTTTGGATCTGTTTGGATCTTGTGAGTCTCGATTACATGAGAAAGATCATACAAACGTGTACTTAAAATTGATATATGAAATATTTCATGACCCAAAAATCTAAGTCATGACTGACTCATAGGCTAAGCAAACACACTACTACCTAGCCTAGCTAGCGTAAGACAAAGTTCAACCACATCAACCTAAATTTATAAAACTTTTAAAAGGGACTAAATTTTATTAAAAAAAATATAATCATAGTTTGCATAAAGTATTAAGCTTAAAAAAAATTAGAGTAATCAAAATCAATGAACAAATACTTGGATGTCAATTAAATAACTATTCGATATTATCCTCGAACTAACACAATACTATGACGTTAGTTCTTTATAGTAGTCACAATACCATGGGATTCCACATCATCTTTATTTTAACTTGTCTTACCTAATTCATCCACAACGTTCAACACCAAAGCACTTTACTTTACTACCTGTTGATCTGTAAAATAATGAATGGAAGGGGGTGAGTCTACCACTAACTCAGTGAGGCACAAACTAACAACAAAGTGTGCAGAAGGGAAGCAAAGGTGCACATGAGTTTTCCACAAAACAAATTTTCCAAGAAAAGATTAGATACCACTATGATCAAGAATGCTGATTCATAATCTATATGTTCAAGAAACACCACTTTCCAATTTTTTTGTACTGAACCTAATCATCACACCAAGAAAATGTCATTAGATTTCCAATTATGACAAAACTTTTCATCAGTATATCCCAATATTCTTAGTGGGGAATAACCATCCCACCTACAACATAACATATATGGATCTATTTCTTGTACAATGGTGATGAATAACTATCCCACCTTTATAACATTATATTATAATATGTCATAAAACTTGCGGTGAGGAATAACTATCTCACCTACATGATATATAATATACAATGTATCATATAACTCATGGTGAGGAATAATTGTCTCACCTAAGATATCACACACTCGTATACATATTTACACACCCCATACAATTAAATGACCTGCAAACAAAAATAAATAAATAAACATCAATAGTTAAAAAAATTCATATATTGAAAATAAATCAATTTGCTATTTAAAATCATGATAGTTGGGAATATAATTGGTTTTAAAAGGAAAGAAGAAATTATAAACAATTGAAAAAGGAATATATAAAAATATCTTAAATTTAAATTATCAATACATACCCATAATTATAACATCCTAAGTTCTTAATCTTAAGTTTAGAGGTTAATTAAGGGTAAAGTGAAAATTAAAGTGAGATTAGATATTCAGATGAATAATTAGTATTTTGACTTGTTTGTGTGTTGTATGAACATATATGGGTGATAGGACTGCGTTTCGGGTCAAAACAAGTACGCATGATGAGAATAAATCTCACTGTGCCACGTGCCGTGGCTTGTGCTGCATCCGCCGCGGCGCATGGATCAGAATTTGCCTTCATAAGTCGTGAAATTTCAGAAATTTCAGAGGAGAGAATTTGAGAAACACACGAAACAGAGAGAGGAGAAGGGCTAAGGAGCTAGGTTAAGTCATTTTAGAATGGCGGAAGGTGATTTGAATCAGTAACTTTTTAGGTAAGCTACGTATAACTCTTACCTTCCATTCTACACAAATTTCTCTGAAAGGAAAATTGAATCGGTGGAATTTGAGGGGTTTGATTCTTGTCCAATAGTAATAAAAAGGTTCTTGGAAGTTAAATTAGAGCTTTGTGACTGGTTTAGAGCTGAACGGTAGAGCTTTAAACCCGAAGGCTCAATTTTAGCCTTTAGAGAGAGAAAGTTAGGGCAAAAATCTAACTTGAGTGAAATAAGATCGATCAAGGTGATGTAAAGTAGTAATTGGGTAGTTATAGACTTAGAATGGATAAATGAAAAATAGTTTACGTATGAATAGCCCTAAATAGTAAAAATGAGTTTTTGGTCAAAATGGACCAAATGACTAAAATGTGCCAAATATATTCAGATTGGCATATTGGACGTGTGAGTAGAGAAAGGAAGCTTGAGATAAACTTGTATGATAGTGGAAATCCACGAGTAGCCTTTTTAGTGATAAAATGGTTGAGGTAACTGGATAACTTTCTTTGTTTGACTGTTTATTATAACTGTATATTAGTATGCTATGCAATGCATGAAATGGTTTCGAATTGAGCATGTTTTATAGCATTGAGTGATTGTTGTGTGTGAAATGGCTTTTGACTGAAATAAGCATGGAAATGTATTTTATAATGAAAAGTATTATATGTTATGTATAAGAAAGTGTTAAATGGTAAAAAGGGAACCTTAAATGGTTCGAGAAAGCATGATCTGAGAGGTAGGAGTTTGCCCGAGTATAGGAGATGATAAAGACCATATGGCAAGGTTTTCTTAGTATCCCATTAAGGTGTGGTATTGGAAACAATTCTCATTAGTACCTTGAAAGGTGCGGTATTAGAAAAGATCTCCTTAGTGTCTATTAAGGTACGGTGTTGGAGATGAGAGACTCCTTAGTGTCTTTGTGATACGAGTTAGAGTCAACGACGCCCCATTGTGTGTATCGGGGGAAAACCATAGTCCGTATTGTGCGTTAGAACATCTTTGGCCGGGTGATTCTACCACTACAGGTGAGCTCAAGACTAATGAAAGTATACATTAGTCTGAGATGAGCCTATGGTTTTGTGTCGGGGTGATTTAGAGGTTTGGTTGGTAGAGATCATGATAGTATTTTATGATATGATGAAATATCTTGAGATAACATGGAATCCTTGGGATTGATGAAAAGTTGAAAATGAAATGTGATATGTGATGTAAATACTACTTTATGAGGTTTTAATGATATACTATGCTTACTTTCATATTGTTACATGTGATAGTCAATAAGAGTGAGTTATTCTATTACTGAGATTTTTATCTTACCCCGTGGTTACATGTTTACAGGATCGAGAAGTGATCAGGCCAAGGAAAGAGAGTCTGGACTGACTTTAGTTGTGAAGCTATGTACTCTGAGGTTTTGTAATGAACTAAACTGAAAGATTGTATATATAAGTGTATATGAGTTGCCATAGGGTTTCATACATGTATTGAACTGAGTTTTTGTGAAATCAAGCCTGATTATGTGTATATGTGTTGTTGAGACAAGGGGCTTTGATTTGAATATGTTTGAGTTGAAATGATTGTATGTGTTAGTAAATCTTAAGCCAAGGGATGAATTATGATGAAATGAGTAATGTGGGGGATAAGATTGTATTGTGAATATGATGGCATATGTATGAGTTGAGAAATAGCCAAGTGGGCTAAGTTATGCTGAGAAATGGCATAGTATGTTAAGTTAGTGAATTGTGGAAATTGGCCATAGAAGGGTCAAATTTTAATATATGAAAATAATTGTGATTATTTGAGGTCAATCAGGTGTATTAGATCCTTTTGGACTTAGTTTAAGGCCTAGTGTGGTCTAATGAGAGCAAGGGATCGATTTGATCGCTTGGGTGTCTAAATTTTGATCAGACCATTAGATTGTGTCTAAATCTATCTCATTAGTTAGTACATGAGCTAAGCTTTGTGTGGGCGCTTGAATCACTCTGATCGGATGTCATATAAGAAATTGGCGCACATCGAAAGTTCATCATTTTTGCTGTCAAAATGACAGCAGAAATTCAGATAGGCGTGCTGCGGTGCATGAAGACACATGTCGCGGTGCATGACACAGGCAGGGCAAGCATGTGATTCTGTGCCATATGCCACGGCGCATTGACTATCCGTCACGGCGCACATACCAAGTTTCAATTTTAATTGTGTGCCGAAATACATACAATTAAGATAGGAATGTTGGTGGGTTATGTCCACTATGTATTTGAGGAGTGTATGATTTATTTCTGCTGTGTTTTCTCTAGTTATATTGTGACTTAATTTATTTCATAAAGTAAGTCTTCGGTCGAAGCTTTTGAAATTTTACTGAATGATAAGATGTAGTGGTAACACCGTAATCTTCTCTTATATGGTGTGGATATATGAGGGGAGGTTACAATTTTGGTATCAGTCTCTCAGTTCTCGAGACCTGATTGTAATTGATGCATTCATTGAGAAATATGGTAACTTATATTGTTCATTACACAACCTTTTCCCTGATGCCCTTTATGTTTTGTATTTTCATCCTTAGGAGGGGAGAAAATAGTACAATATGAGAAGCACTCGTACGAGAACCGTAGTATCTAGACTGGTTGTAAAGGAGGAATAGGAGCCAAAAGTTCAACCGATTTAGTTGCAAAGGGATAGACGTGATGAGCTACTGGAAGAGCTCAGGGATATAGTTGTCGATATAAGACAAACTATTAGGGATCATGACACGATCCTAAGGGGTAAAGAGCAAGAAGAGAGAGTTAAAGCTCAGAATATCCCAGTGCAGGAAGCACATAGTAGACCTGGACCATCTCGAAATTCAGGTAGTAGACCAGAGATTCCTAGCACTGATCCATCTATTGATCGTGCTTGGAAGATGTTTGTTCGGTTCAATCCGCCGATATTTGATGGAAGTATGAGGGAAGGTGAAGCAGAATTATGGATAGAACAAATGGAAACCATCTTTGAGGTGGTAATTTATACTTCAGAGTAGAAAGTTATCTTAGCCATAGTGCAGTTGGTTGGTGTTGCTAAGAGGTGGTGGGAATCTGTGAGACCAACTGGTGGTATTCGTTTGAGCTGGGATGAGTTCAAGAAAATATTCTTTGATCAATACTTTCCAGTCTCATTCAGAATTGAGAAGGAAGAGGAATTTCATGCTTTTAGGCAGGGAGACCTGGACGAGGAAGAATTTATAAGAAAGTTTAATGACCTATCAGCTTATTCCATATATCTCCAACATAGTAATGACTCGAAGTGGAAAGCTGAGAGATTACTTGAAAAGATGAGACCCGAGTACAGGCAACAGATAACATTGCTTGATGTGACAACGTATGAGGAGATGTGCCACAAGTTGAGGGTAGCAGCAAGGCATGGTAGAGAGGAAGATGTTGAAAGGAGATGAGATAGTATAGGAAAATTTTCATCTCCTATGGGTCCGACTGGTGGAATCTCAAAGAGGATTGAGTTCAGTACAAGCAGTTCTAGTTCTTTTGGAAAGAGAGGTTTTAGTCGAGGATCGCAATCTTGACCTGTACATAGAGGGTCAATGCAGAGGGGTGGAGGTGTGAGAATTGGGCCTCCACAGTCTTCGAGACAAGCGTCAAATGTTCCAACTCTGACATTGAGTACTGGAAGGATGCCCCAATGCAACATATGTGGCAAATCTCATCCGGGAAGATGTTGGTCTTGCTGCAAGTGTGGTAAATAGGGTCATATAGTGAGGCAATGCCCAGAGGGAAGATTTGAGGGGACTGAGCAAAGATTGATAGTTCCTGGCCGAGTATTTACAGTTACACAAGAAGAGGCTAAAGCATCTTCGAATCTGATCAAAGGTATGATTTCTGTAAATGGTCACAAAGTACAAGCATTGTTTGATTCTGGTGCTACCCATTCTTTTGTGTCTAAGGAATGTGTGGATAGATTGAAATTATCTTTACAAGAATTACCTATGCTCATTAAAGTGGCGACACCTTCTGGATCGTCTAGTATTACAAGTCAAGCTTGTCAGAATGTGGAGATTTGATTTGAGGACAGAGTTTCCAAGATCAATCTGATTTGTATCCCTATGAGAGGAATAAATGTGATAATTGACATGGATTGGCTAGCAGAAAATAATGCTACGCTTGATTGTACCAAAAGAGTAGTTTCATTACCAGTATTGTGCGCAGCTGTGGAATCTTCAGAGCAATCTAAGTTTCTATCGGTAATAAGTGCTGAGAAGTTAATCGGTAAGGTTGTGATGCCTATATAGTATTCTTTACAGCCAGCACAGTATATGATGGTGGAATTGAGAAGATTGGGATAGTAAGTAAGTTCCCAGAGGTATTTTTAGAAGAGATGACTGGATTACCTTCTGAAAGGAAAGTTGAGTTCTCAATCGAATTGGTTCCTAGAATTAAACCTATATCAAAGGCTCCTCAAAGAATGTCATCATTTGAATTGACTGAGCTAAAGAAGCAGATTGAAGATTTGCTAGAAAAGGGATTCATCAGACCAAGTATATTACCTTGGGGATCACCGGTATTATTTGTTTGAAAGAAGGATGGCAGTTTATGATTGTGTATCGATTACCGGTAACTGAATAAGGTAATTGTGAAGAACAAGTATCCTCTACCAAGGACAAATAATCTTTTAGATTAATTGGCTGGTGCCTCAGTCTTTTCTAAGATTGATTTGAGGTCAGGGTATCATCAGTTGAGAGTTAGTGCAATAGATGTATCCAAGACAGCTTTTAGAACTAGGTATGGCCATTATGAATTCTTGGTTATACCATTTGGTTTGACCAATGTGCCAACAGTGTTGATGGATTATATAAACTGAATCTTTAGGCCATATTTGGATCAATTTGTAGTGGTCTTCATAGACAACATCCTGATCTATTTTGAGAATGAGGAGCAACATGCAAGGTATTTGAGGATGGTATTGCAAATTTTGAAAGACAAAAAATTGTATGCTAAGCTCAATAAGTGTGAGTTTTGGTTAAGTGAAGTGAGATTTTTAGGACACGTGGTGTCTGCAGATGGAATTTCAGTGGATTCGCATAAGGTTGATGCAGTGTTGAAATGGGAACGTCCTAGTTCAGTTATAGAGATACGTAGTTTTCTGGGATTAGCTAGGTATTATTGACGATTTATCCAAGAATTTTCCCAGATAGCTTCTTCTTTGGCTAAACTAGCTCGAAAAGATTAGCCTTATATATGGAATGACCGATGTGAAGTGGCATTTTGGAAGCTGAAAGAGAAATTAACTATAGCACCAGTGTTGATTATCCCTAATCTAAGTTTACCTTACGAGGTATACACAGATGCGTATTTAAAAGGTCTTAGTTGTGTCTTGACGCAAGATAGTCGAGTGGTAGCCTATGCTTCACGACAATTGAGATCACATGAGGAGAATTATCTTGCACATGATTTAGAGTTTGCAGTAATGGTGTTTGCTGTAATGTCCGCCTTGACATTACCAGGACAACATACACACATCATTATGATAACTCAGATTAAATAAAATCCTCAGAAGAAGTTACCACAACTCAAGGGTTTAAAAATAATTAGTTAAAACATTGGGATCCCAAGAAAACTCTTTTTAAAAATATTGTTTAAGCTCAAACCATAGTTAAAAATTGATTAAAAGTAAATATAGAAGCAGGGGAAACAAACTACATCAAAATCTGGCTTAAACGTCATTTTTCAGCAAATACTGGTCCATCCGCCATGGCGGATGGCACAGAGGGACGAATCCCTCGAGGGCTTCTTGCGCCGCGGCATAACAGTCATGCGCCACGACACGCACCTGCTGTCTTGACAGCAGATTGCTGTCATGACTTTTCTCTGAACTTTCGGAGCGCGCCGTTTCGTCATCCGACATCCGATCTAAGCGATTCAAGTATCCACACGAAGCTCTTTGAGCCCTCTAGCTAATGGCACCAGTCTTATACTCAAACAATCATCCATTTAAAACATCAACACCCAAACCCAAAATAGTTTGTTTTCACAGTAAAACACATAGTATGGTGTCCAACTCATAATACACAATGCCATTAGCCCCAGAGACACATTGAGCACCTCAAATAGACCACACACCACATAACAATCCATTCATATCACACAATTAAGCAATAACGCTCAAAATGACCACCAAAACCCCATTGGATAAGAACACAACAGGGTGGACAACATTCAACACATCAATCAATTGGTTATTTTGACACTCAAAACAGTTGCAATATATATATATATATATCACTTGTAAGCAACTTGGCCAAGCACACACATACTCTATAACACCATTCTTGGACCAAGATATACACACTTATTACAAATTCATACAAGTGATATCCAAATAATGTCATGTTCCTAAGTTGGCAATATTTAGTGACAATATTTGTTACATTACCT